CTGCTCTAGTTGCCCCGTTTGCGTCCTATTCGTCCCTCTTTTGGGCAGCAACTCCCGCTGCTTCCCTTGAACAACCCCCTAAGTCAGCCACCACTCTCGGCCCATTCAGCACTACCAGCTCAACGCGCCCTCCTATTCCCTGGCTGTTCTGCCTGCGCACAGCTTACCCTTACCGCGGCGCCAGTAGTACACAGTCCCTTAAAGCTGCCTTAGCAGCGAATCCCGACCGTTTTCGACCCGGTGGGCTGTCTGCGTCTCTGCTGCTTTCCTGTCTGCCAGTCCGGCAGCTTGTTTGCCTGACTGCGAGGCCACGAGGCCAATGAGCGGTGGTCGATGGAACAGCACAGGGGTGCTTGCTAACAGGGAGCCAAGAGGTCGGGAAGGGAGATAAAAGAGTGAGGGGTGTCTACAGGGGACGAAGACGCAGGGCACCGTTTTCCTTTGTAAAATGGGTACAGGGTTGGGAATAGAAGAAAGGCAGCAGAAGGTAGGCCCAACAGCAAGCAGACAAACCAAAAGCATCTTTTCCAACGCCAACAACCCCCACTATTACCACTAGGATCAGCAGCAGCCCCGTTACTATCAATGTCGGCCAATACCAAACTCGACGAACAGCAACAACAGCATCCCCCAGTAGTCAGCCTCGCCAGTGTCTCACCTTTTACGAGTTCGTCTTTGGCGACGACTACGACGGCAACCTACGGCGGCTAGTAAAATACCACACGCCACTAGCTGATAGCTTAGCGTGACAACGTACATAATACAAGAAAACAAAGTACCTTACTGGTACCGACGAAAAACATGTTTGTACAACGGCAATGTGATAGTTTCCCGCTTTCTTGCAGACAAAAATCGGGTTCGAAATACGACTACCTGATTCTACATGTTCTCAAGAGGGGAGTCATCCAAAGCCGAGAAATTGTTAGCGGACGACACGACGTGGCTATATGCCCCTAGTTATTGGATACGTGTTTGCTGTTACGTAAATATGGGTATATAGGCTTTATTAATGATTTACTCGACCTACAGACAGTTGACGGCTTCTGGAAGAAACTACGGACGGTAATCCACGTCAATTTTGATGACTGCTCGTGCAAACCCCTTGATTTCTAGCCAGGTATTAGGGAGACAACCATTATCGTTCTCCAAGAGTAGACGCCAAAAAAATTCCAAGAACAATTCACAGTTGAATTTGTCTGCTGTTTTTCTTTGGAATACGGAGTCGCCGAAAATATTGTGACTAGCCAACACATACGCGCTAGGAAAGACACCTACATCAGTTGTAACCCACCGAACCATAGCGTTTTTTTTTATCCTTCCACGACGCTGTGTACTGCTACCTCTCAAAAAGCCTCAGAAAATTTTGGCAGCGACGGCACGAACTCTTGAGGGTCGTATTGCTACAGCTTTTGTTCTTACTGCTACGACCGCTAGATCTGGTGCACCGAAACTGTTAAAAGAACTTACAACGAATGGTATCACTGAGGTGACAATAGTCAAGGAGAAGCTATAGTCGAAGGGGAGCTTAGCTAACATCGGTAAACCTCGTTCGTCCACACGGACAATCGCCAACTAACACAGCGCACTGACAGAGTAGCCGCTACCGGTAGGATCGAGAAGGATCGATTCAACAGGTTGCGTCTTTTCGAGTTCGTATCCTAAAGGTCCCTCGCTTGCGATAGCGGCTTCATCCGCCATAAGCGACACGGATAAAGCACACCACCAAGCGACTCGCAAGCCGCTGGATGGTGTTGTTACACCTCCTGATGAAACGTATTTTTCTATCGGATGCACTCTCACTTGCATTCTGTCCCTTAGATTCTCGCAGACATTTTGAAAGGCAAACCCGCCTTTCAAAGCCGTTGCGTTGGTAGCCCTGAAGGAGATGATAATATATCAATCCTGTACAGTAGGTGTACATGTACGTACTATGATAGGTGGACGTGTAAATTCTGGGATTTTTGATTAGATTGATAGAATATTTTTCAACTGTGTGTGAATTAAATCTAGCTAGCTAACGTTTCTGGATTACAGTCCATTGCGGTCGAGTAGCAGGGTCAAAGCTAATTCACCGAGAGAACGAACCGCAGTACTTCCCTTTTTGCAGGTATTCTATGGTGGAATGAGACTCTTTCCGCCATAGCGGACTAAATATACTACATGAAACGTACGGGGTCAGTAGTAAATGATATAAAAACAAGGGCACTCGCTGAGTTAAACTGATGTGAATCTGCTGAGGGTGCATGCGGTTGGTAACTAATAATTTTTCAAAGTTGGCAGTGTGCTTAGATTGGCTTCTTTTGGGTAAATTTTATTAACTATTCAATCTTTTTTTTCACAGTATTAACCCTTATTAGCACTTGTCGGCAACCACTTAAGACGGGTAAGTACATGTATAGAAGACCATGAGCTGTACACCAGCCCACAGGATCGTGGGGGCTACGTACGTGTTTTTGACATGCGCACCCTACTCTGATTCGAAATTTTGTACCAGTCTTCGTCCTAGAAGGTTTGTCTCGCAGACGAAGAGACAACTAGTTTTCATTATTCTTTCGACACTGCCTACGTATGGATAATATTTTGTATTTACATTTTATCATTACTAGCAAAATTGTGATCTTGCAAAGTATTACAAAATTTAGTTTTACGAGAGCGGTCTACTCTAGATGTTCCGGATGTTTATGAAGCGAATGTCACCTTGCGGCTCAAACCAGGTAGCTCATGCTATAACGATACACAGGTTCACAGAAAAATCCTATTGTAATCCTTAGTACCATCTTTGGGCATCTTGGACAGTCCAGATTTGAATGATTGTTTTCCATATTTGTCGACTTGCTTGATATTTTCATAAAGCAACGACAGAGGTCGTTGCTTTCTGAAACTGCTAAAACGACCCTAATTTCAATTAAAGACGGACTCCTTTTGTTCTACTGTCCACGTCCCGCTAATGCGTGTTTTTGAGCATATAAGATGTTTACAATGTTGAAGTAACAAATAAAAACGTTGACCTTTTACTAATGTGCGATCGCATTCAGCCGTCCTAGTTCCTACATTTAGGGAACCATCTGCTGCAACCACGGCTTTACCATTACCAAAAAAAAGGCAGTTAGTTGGCTAGAAGATGTAAGCGACCGGTATATGATCAACAACACGGCCAAAGAGGACACAAATATCAGTTAGAACTACAACATTATTCACCTATCACTTTTTTGTCCAGCTACGCTAACTAGTCGCCTGCTCCTTGTAGCTATTGCAGGCCAATTCAAAGATGTTATCCAAACAGCAACGAGCAGATTTAGCCGATCTACGCTCGAATGGCCATCATTTCTTCATCAAAGTGCACTATATCTACACACATATGCATAGGTACATACAATCGCCCTGTTAAGTGATCCCGTTAAGCTCAAGTCGCACCGTCAGCTAGTATCGTGGGAACGGCCGTCCACACGGAGCAATCTCCATTAGGACGTGAATTACCGTTTGCGCCTCCGTTTGCCGGACGGTCGGTCGGCTGGCTTTCTAGGTGAAGGGAGCGCACAGCGGGAGCTATACGTGAAACGCTAACGAATACTGAGGAATTGGTAACGAAAGAATAGTTAAATGCTTAAGAGAACGGGTTAGCAGAAAAGGATGTGCCTATTACACGAGTTCACGCTTCTCAAACAACGCACCGCTCGAAAATTCGAAATAGCTCTGAGTGGCTGCAGCAGCGACACGATTCCGACTAGCTCCTAGGCAGGTGGAGACTCCAGCTCAAACGACGATCACACACAAAGGCGTTCACCCATGCATCTATGCACAAAGATGCATGGCTGTGTGTATATATGTACGTATATATACATATTTATATAGATCTATATACATATGTAGATATATATACATATGTAGATATATATACCTATATAGGCATAGGCACAGGTAATAAAAACTGGTAGGTAAACTGACGGACAGTTAAACACGATAGGTAAATTTGTCACATAGGAGGAGCCAGCATTTGTTAGTGGATGATAACTGATGTATGTACTGGTGGCAGGGTGTGTATCTGCAATGTACATATATATATATATATATATATATAGGTTTATTAGGAAGCAGATACTGCATGAAATTCTCGGAACATTCGAATATTTTTCAGTGAGAGAAACAACGACTTCAGGTCGATTGATACCAGGAGATTCTCTTTTATCGATGAGCTCGGTCGAGTGTATAAGATGGCAGCTATCTACCGCAGCTCGTTTTATGCCGGTACTCCTTGTTACATTCAAATTGACCTGCACCTACTAGCCCGTGTACATGGTAATTATAATCGACTAGGTGACCTTTACTGCGGTCTATTGCCATACGGTCTCAATGCTTGTTTTCTGCTGCCGGCAGACTATACGACTTTAACCGTGATGACATTCATCAGCTAAGTAAGCCACAGCCTGCACATAGCTACGTATGAGACACGTGCTGCAAGAGAGGTGTACAATTTACTAAAAAAATCTCCTGCTCCAGCCGCATCTCGTTAATCTACACATGAAAAAGATTAGCACCCGAACAGGCGAGCAATTCCTTATTTTTTTCAAAAACTCCGAATTGTTTGTTTCTCGTTGATCTCACCCAGATGTATGTAAATAATACGCAAACGTATTTTATCGCTTCCATACCATATCGCTTGTGAACACCCCTCTAAGCAGGGGGTCTGTGACGCAACAGGAACACGAATCTTTGTTTAGTTATGTCTTTTTGCGTCTGCTCAAATAATGAAACCGCGGCTACTTTGGTGGAAATTTAACCGATCGAAACACATGGGCTGCGTAGTGTACAGACCAACTATAGGCTAACCGGCAAAACATGTAGAGCAGTAAGAGAAAGGACGTAACTAAATGCTCATGATCGTGTCAAAGCTTCCATGGGTCTACATATAATCCACAGGATCCGGTGACGAACAGGAAGGTTAAATGGCCAAGAATGAACGTCCGCAAAAAAAGACAAAACAATTAGTGAATACAACTCACGTAGTCGTGAAAGGCCTTAGCTTCACTAGAATGTTCACACGAGTCTCTCCGCTCCGGAGCTGCGCAATATAGGTCCCAGAATACACTGCAAGACAAAAAACAATATCCGAATTAGCATACAAACTATCATTGTATGTACATTGCAAACACATGCGTCATCATACACGATTGGTTAGTCAAGCACTGCGTAAAGAAACACGTCACTGGGTCTAACGTTGACTTATAATTAAAAAAACCTTGCGTTAGTTGATTTCATTGCTAACCATTAAGCTCAACTTCGGTCACTATAAATTCCGTATGAGCTGAACAATTATTTCTAACCGTGCCATAGTCTTTGTCGTATCGCTCCGTCTACGGCCCCCGCAGCGCTCGTGGTGATTGATATCATGGCTACGATCCAGCTTCACGTTGGGGGGTGATTTAAGCTAACTAAAATTTCCCTCGATATCCAACCCATACATAAGCACACATTCCTGAAGCTCAACATCAGATGAAGCTAGCACTGCTTTTACTGCTTCTTCTAGTGCCATTGCAGTAAGCCATAGCAGCCCCCTCTCATTGAGTGTCTAACCCTTGTCGGACGCGTTTCTATTGCCCCACAGCGTCTTTCTGAGACCATCGGCAAAAACAACAACGATGAGACACGAATAAGTACAACAGCAACAGCGAATGGAGGCTAAGAAATAAGAGCGGCAAAATGGGCAATTTCTGTTTTAGTTTTTGGTCCCTGTCATCTTCTTCGTTGTCTATCGGCGGTGAGGAAATGAAAAGATGGCGGCATCTCGACCGATGAATGAGTGCAGCCCGCGAGCTGAGGGACCGGCGATGAGCGACCGGCGACCGGCGACGAGCGAAAACCCGTTTGGCGTCTCCACAGCAGCAACGGCTAGCGGCAGTGGCGTCAGCGTCCTTCGGAGCAAGCGCCTGCCCATATTCCCGCTTCGACTGCTTCTTTATTCTTCTACTGCTCTTGGAGAAGGAGCTAGAAGTTGTCGTCGGGGCCGGAGGCGCGGGAGGCACCCGGAGGGTTTGCTCGGTCGCGTCCAATCGCCTGTTGTGACTGCGGATTCAGAGGTTGTTACAGAGTTTCTATCTGTTGGCTACCGCTGCCTCCGTCACAAGTTGTGAACAGTTAAGCATCAGCCAGCAAGATCACTACAGTACAGAGACTATCAAACTGCTGCTAAAGCAGAAGACAATACCGAGACACAAATATATATAACAGAGTGTACACGAAATTCTCGCTGTTGGTCGAAGGACAGCGGATGTCGAACGGCGACGATGAATAGGTGCCGAATGACAAGCAGCAGACAAGTGCCTCTCGCGTCAATTGAATACACCAGTAACAAGGCCAACAAAAGAAATCTACCCATCCCATGACAACGCAACGACAACAAAGAGTAAACCGGAGGTGACCGGCCGAACAGTTGGCAGCAGAGCGAACTTCGGTTGAAAATGCGGCCGTAACTTGAAAGACCGAAAACAAAGCCAAGATACTGGAAACGCCACCCGATGGGATATTGCAGGCTGGCTGAACGTTGCCCAAGAGCTGCAACGTGCATATAATTAATTTTTTGTAGTTCTATACGCGCGCACGCGCATGTATGCAACGCATGTGGCTCATGCATGCATGCATGCATGCATGTATATAACTTTGCAATAGTATTTCTCTACTTTTAAAAGTGTACAGGCATACTTATAGACATTAGCAGATCGGTGCCGAAGAAACTATTTCGATTACTATCAATAATACAAAATTATTAGATTTGGAAAGTCAAGTATCATGAAGGTCCCTTTTGGCCCTGTTGATAGTTGTTCTCATCCAGCGTGGATCGAAAGTTTGAGGTTCTTTCTGTAACAGCGAATTCTCCATTCTGTGTCCTTATCCAAACCATACGAAAGCAGGAAAAGAAAAGGCTAGCCAATAATCACGAACCTTGTGGAGGTTCAAAAGTTTTCAGTAGCCAAAGACAGAGCAGCCGCCTAAGTCTCTAGCACGCGCTAGCGATGGCCGTCGTTTCGCTGAAGTTATCAACATTATGGAGTAGCCCGTTTCTCCTTGGTCTGCTTTCCTATGAAATTCTCCCGATTTCCCAATCTGCATATGATTCCTTCCTTCGTTCGGTTCGGTTTATCTCCCGCGTTCCGTCTCGTGAACCAAATACAGCGTCATACCAAATAGAAAAGAAGGGACAAGCGTGGTAAGAGAGACGCAAACAACAATGAAGCCTCTAGAGAGAAGGCCATTTTTGGGGTAGTCAGCCCGTTGACAGGGTGTATTGAGAAATTAGGGCCGGGGGAGCACTGGAGGAGAGAGGGAAGACAGTTAATGGTTTCACCCTTCCATTGCCCCTCGCCGACCTAAACAGTTCGTTTGAAAACGAACCACAGTGGAACGGGCGGGCTAGCACTCGTAGCATAATTGCGGCTGCGGAGCGATCACTGTTGAGGAGAAACCAGCGAGGCTTTGGCAAATCTGAGGAAACTCGAAAAAACCGCACTATATTTGCTGCAGTACAGGTTGAATGCCAAGCGCCGAAGAAGAACGATGAACTTTTTTCAGCAGCAACGATTGCACCTACATAAAATATGATATTATGATATAAACGATGGGGACAAAGGGTGCAGCAGCGCGACAGTCAGCAGCGAAAGGACGATAAAGCTGCAACAAGTCAAGAGTGATATCGGGTGAAACAAAGTGACCGGAGTATTCACTGGGGAAACTTGCGTTCAGATACTTCAGCAGACATAAGAAGTTGCCAAGATGGAAGATAACCAGGAAACTTAGCAAATAGAGCTATGTTTAGCAAAGTTAAATTTTGTGACGAAGATAATGCGTTCAGAAAGCACCCGGTTAAGTTCGTATCTAAAACGAGCGCATGTCAAACTCATAAAACAATTGAATTCATATAATAGATATCTTATTGCCTTCATAACAAACGTTTGTTGTCTTGGTTGATACATGAACATCTCTACGACTCTTGATAACGTAAACGACTGTCTTCGAACGTTAAACTCGAATGCCAAAGGCCTGCCAACGTCTAAAGACACGTCTACGACTACTACTACGAGTACGAAGTCTAGCAACGGTTTTCAGCCTGAACATTTAAGCGTGTAAAGTTATCGGGTATGAATGAAGGCACTGGACTTTTCAATGTATCCAATTGTGCTACGGAGGAGGGTACAAATAAGACAGGCTGAATGTCAGAACCAAACGCACTTCACACTAAATATCGAAGAGTACGGAGTAGAACGCGAGTTAACCAAATCCTCAAGTATAAGCGCAGTCTTAGCTTGGAACCAATTACTTAAATTTGACATTTACAATTTCAGTTATTTTCACTTTATTCTTTGCCTTTCGCAATCATTAACCATGTTCATCTATTTATAATTAAGCAAGTTAACTATCGTACGATACGTAGCATCAAAGCAATTTAAAGCTGAGATTTGTATAGACACAATGCATTTCTCCCTTAGTAGTATTTGGTCGCCAAAGGACTTTTACCCTATTTTCTGTTCCATATGGTTTTCATCTGCAGGTATATACACATATGTATGTGCGTATCACTAATTTGACTCACTCAATGACAGACTACGTCTAGTCATCACCAGTACTGGCTTGTTCTACGTCGTCGATCAACGAAGTTTACAGAGCTGCCAAAATTCGCCCCTGATCTTTACATACTCACCATCTTGCTGCTTCTCCTGGAAGCAGACCTTTGTCTGTCACGAGGTTGCCTCGCCCTTATCCGCGTTTTTACACTCCTCAATATTTCCTCAGGCCGAGCTGAACTCGTGATCATGGTACGCGCGCGATCAGTTCATGTCACGAGTTACCGCATTAAGCACAGCGAAAGCACCGAATCTACAGCTGAGAACTCGCAACCGGGGAGGTAACTAGGGGACTGGAAATTTCCTGGCAGCTTGCTGACTGCCTTCGTCCCCTAGCACCTAGTCCTCCCTAGCTCCTCCTTCCGTTGCTTTATTAGATCCCCTCTATACCCCGTACCTTCACAAGCAGGAGCGACAGCCAGGGGTGCTCATACTGGCATAGCTATCAGCAGAAACAAGAAGCGACGACGAACCACCCACTCGTCCAGCCTCCGACCCGTCCGGCCTTTGGTCCCACATATCTCGTTTTCTCGCGGCTGCCTTGGCTCCGAGCGACTCTCGGCCTCTACAGTTTGTATCGGCGGCCAGTGCTCCGACGCGAGCCAGCCAACGCGTCTAGTCCTTTTACACAGTGTTCTTGTACAGCTGCGGAATTTTAAGCGAGTAGCAATGAGCACACCCAGCGCGTCTACACAGTTCAATACTTACAGCAGCAATGGCGGCGTCACCGATGTCATTGGCCAGGCCGAGCCAACTGAAGGCGAAGGCTTCGGTCGCTGCCTGTTAGGTTGATCGTTGGTCGATGCCAGTAGCCGCTGGGTTGCTAAGCTCGCGAATGGGATTCACGGTGGGGTAATATAATAATACAGTGCAGGAGCGCCCGTTACTTTCGGCTAGTCACCACCATAGAGAAAACGGGTCGTGTTGGTGGCGACGTTAGAGGTTGGTATTTTGGAGACACGGGTGGGGTTCACAGGGTGTACACGCTGTTTAGGGGTGAGTATGAGAGGAAGGGATGTTCTAGGGAGGTGTTGGGGCTTCGGGAGACTTGAGGGGGTTATCAAATAAGGTTAGTCATCTTCCCCGTTCGTCCTCTGTCCTTTCTCCCTTTCCACGCAACCTCCCATCTATGTGTCTATGCTCGTTCGAAACTGAACAAAACCTATCCAGTGGAGGGCTCATTGGCTATCCTGTTGGCTACGCTACTTGTACACCTTCTTTTCTACCATAGGCTGTCCGGTGCTCTTGCCGACCTCGGCCCTCAACCCCCAGCTCAGGCGATCTCCTGCTGGGGTTTGCTTGGCTGCTGAAGCTGCTTGCTAGCTCTACGAACGGTAAGATTGAGGAACAAACCTGGTGAGCAATCCAGTCTTTGCTAGCTATACACTACTTAGGTGGCAAAACATCCTGCATAACCTTTGGTCAAATCCTGACATAGGTGAAGCATGGCCAGAGGTGAAGGTCAGAAACGAG